AAAATAATATTTGATTATCTTCTGTATTTCTGAAGTGTCTGTTGTGATATTGCCTTTTTCATCCCGTATGCTAGTAATTTGAGTTCTCTCTCTTCATCTCTTTGCTAGCATGGCTAAGGATCTGTCTATTTTGTTTATTTTTTCAAAGAACCAACTTTTAGTTTTGTCAATTTTTTCAATTGTTTCTTTATCCCTTTTGATTAACTTTGGCTTGAAATCTATTTTATTTGATATGAGTATGGACACTCCTGCTTGTTTCCGAAGTCCATATGAGTGATATGATTTTTCCCAACCTTTCACCTTCAGCCTATGTATGTCTTATCCTATCAAATGCATCTCCTGTAGGCAGCATATTGTTGGGTCTTGTTTTGTGATCCATTCTACTAGCCTGTGTCTCTTAATTGGTGAGTTTAAGCCATTAACATTTAGGGTTATTATTGAGATATGGGTTGTTCTTCCAGCCATATTTGTTTATTTATGTTACTAAACATGGTTTGTTTTCCACTTTGATTATTTTCCCCCCTTTAGTGTCCTACCTCCCACTGTTGGTTTTCATTGTTATTTTCCATTTCCTCTTCCTGTAATGTTTTGCCAAGGATGTTTTGAAGAGATGGTTTTCTAGCTGCAAATTCTTTTAACTTTTGTTTATCGTGGAAGGTTTTAATTTCATCTTCCATCCTGAAGCTTAATTTCGCTGGAAACACAATTCTTGGTTGGAACCCATTTTCTTTCAGTGTTTGAAATATGTTATTCCAGGATCTTCTAGCTTTCAGAGTCTGTGTTGAAAGATCAGCTGTTATCCTGATTGGCTTACCCCTAAATGTAATCTGCTTCCTTTCTCTTGTAGCTTTTAAAATTCTCTCCTTATTCTGTATGTTGGGCATCTTCATTATAATGTGTCTAGGTGTGGATCTCTTATGATTTTGCACATTCGGCGTCCTGTAGGCTTCTAGGATTTGGGATTCTGTCTCATTCTTCAAGTCTGGGAAGTTTTCTCGTATTATTTCACTGAATAGATTGCTCATTCCTTTGGTTTGGAGTTCTGTACCTTCCTGTATCCCAATGACTCTTAAGTTTGGTCTCTTAATGTTATCCCATATTTCTTGGATGTTCTGCTCATGGTTTCTTAACAGTCTTGCTGAGCTGTCTATGTTCTTTTCTAGTTGAAATACTTTGTCTTCATTGTCTGATGTTCTATCTTCTAAGTGTTCTACTCTGCTGGTAGTATTCTCAATTGAGTTTTTAAGTTGGTTTATTGCTTCCTGCATTTCTAGGATTTCTGTTTGTTTGTTTTTTATAACCTCTATCTCCCTGTATAGTTGATCCTTTGCTTCCTGGATTTGTTTGTGTAATTCATTGTCGAAGTGATCTTTCATTGTCTGATTTTGCTGTCTAATGTCTTCCTTGATACTCCAGATCATCTGAAGCATATATATCCTGAATTCTTTATCTGACATTCCATCTGCTGCAGCTGTTATCTCTTCTAAAGTTGAGTTGACCTGCATTGCTTGTGGTCCTTTCTTTCCTTGTCTTTTCATACTGCTTGCGTTTCTTTCTGCTTGGTGAAACTGTTGTGTTTTTGAAATGTTTTTTTCTCCTATATATTTATATTGCTCTTGTATAGTTGAAAAGTCTCCCTTGCAGGGTCGGGCGGCGGTCTGCCTACCTTTCGGGCACGGGTGGCGGCTCTGCTCTGCCCCTACTCCAATTGGGGTGTCGTGACTACCACGCCGGCAGGTCGCTGGGCCTGTTCCTGGCACGGGCGGCGACTCTGCTCTGCCCCTACTCCAATTGGGGTGACGTGTGTACCAAGCCGGCAGGCTCCTGGGCCTGATCCGCCGGTCTGTTGCAGGTCTGCCTACCTTGCAGGCGCGGGCGGCGGCTCTGCCCTGCCCCTCCTACCACGCCTGTGGACCGCTGGGTCTGATCTGCAGGTTGGTCGCAGGTCTTCTCACCCTGTGGGCACGGGTGGCGGTTCCGCTCCGCCCCCACTCCAATTGGGGTCACGTGACCACCACACCGGCGGGGCCTGATCCGGGCGCGGGCGAAGGCTCTGCTCTGCCCCTGCTCCAGTTGGGGTGACGTGTGTACCACGCTGGCAGGCCGCTGGGCCTGACCCGCCAGTCTGTCGCAGGTCTGCTTACCTTGCAGGCGCGGGTGGCGGCTCCGCTCTGCCCCCTCTCCAATTGGGGTCAGGCGATCACCACGCTGGCGAGCCGCTGGGCCTGCTCCGGGCGCGGGCGGCGGCCCGGCTCCTCCCCTCTGGCTCGACAACAAATCGAGAGAGACTCGGGTGTCTGTGCCTCACCCTCCCTACCAGGAGACCAACTGTTTCTGTCGCCGCTGGTATTGATGAAGTTCTCTCCTCTGCCGCTTTGTGATGACATCAGATCTCTGCCATGTTGGTATCCTATGCGAATGGCAGCATTTCGTTCCCTTTGCCGGGTAACCAAAGCAACGGGTGAGTCCTGACCAGCCCTCAGCAGGACCCGGACCGAGAAGCAGTTTCCACGGGCTCCTTAGCCCTGGGCCAGAGCAGTTCCGGGAGCCGGAACTCAGCCGCTCCATGCTCGGTGTATGCTCTGATAAGAGCAGGCTCCAAGAAGCACTCAGGCACTGAGCCTGAGTAATCTGTCTGCAAGCCGCAGGCGAATGGCAGCCTGAAATTACCTGTTCTATGGCTGAATGAGCTGCGGTCAGTCGAAAACAGGGATGGTGACGTCAGCTCTCCAAGATGGTGGCTGCTGGCCTCCTCTGTGGTCTGACCGGTGTGGAGAACCGAAATGGACTGCTTCCTTCCCCCGTCTCGAACCCAGAATTCAGCACTGAGTATGGTGCTTGCATGGCTGGCAGAAACTGCAGCGCTGTATCCCTGCGCCACTATCTCCTCCTCGTTTCCCAGCACGCGCTGCAGACTCTAGCCGTGGGGCGATTTGCTGAATAAGCAGTGTTACCCTCCTTGCGACAAATCTCTCGCATTTGAGTCCCCATAGCCGATCCTCATGCGATGGAAATCCTTCCTCCAGGTTCCGGAGCACCCCACTATTGCTGGAAATTCCTAACAAGATAGCCTTTAGCCGTCCTGACTTGTCATACTCCCACACAGTGACGCGGCACATGGGGGCAATGCACTCCCCTCGCCGCCATCTTCCAGCCTCGGTCTGCCACATATTACTTTTTAAAAAAACTTATTTACTGCATATGTTCTCCAGTGAGAGGTGAGGATGTTGGGGTGGAAAGGACATACTTGCCTTGCTTAGGCCCATGCTGGCTCTCATTATGTCCACTGGTGGTTATTCACCTGGGGATTATTTTTGTTTTCAGAACTTTTTCTAACATTCCTTGCAAAATGCTGGTAACCAGTTGGCTTAGTTCTGTTTGTGTTTCTATGTCTTTATTTTTCCTTTTGAATGCTATTTTTCACAATACCTGGTGTTTTCTATGGAAAACTCCTTTTGTTTTTCTCTCAGTAATTTAAAGATATCATTTTATTATCTTGGTTCTGTTGCTTAATATGAATATATAATTTCTTTTAATGTTGGTTCATTCAATAATAGGATGGTTTTCTCCCTTCCCCATTGGGTCCTTTTAAGATCCGTATTAATTTCGAATGCTGTGGAATGAGTTATCATAAGCTTTGTGGCTTAAAATAGCACACATGCTATTTCAAATTCTGTGGGCTGCGCTCAGGCAACCGTGGGGATGAGTTCAGTGCTTTGGGACTTCCCTGGCCTTGAATCTGGGTGACAGATTTCTGAGGCTTGGTCATCCAGATGCATTAGGCCATTTCCAGATCTCCTTCCCTGTGCCATAGAAGGGAGGCACCTTGACTGGGAGCCACTCAGGATTTAAGCTGCTCAACTTCTTGCCCTGAGAGTCTGTCTCTTGGTTCCAACTGGCAACTGGGAACTCCTCCCCTATTGCGCCTCCTTTGCCCATCATGTCCCCAGCCAGTTTTCTGGTGATGCAGAAAACTCCTTGCTGTAAAAGGCTTGTGTGATGAGTTAGGCCCACCCACACAGTTCCCCTGTCTTGGGGTCACCTAACAGGGAAACTTAATTGTGTCTGCCAAGCTTCGTCACAGCAATACTGAGCTTGGTGCTCAACTGAATGGACAGGGAAGGTGTGTCTGGGTGGTCTAGATGCCTGGGTGGGAAGAAAGACAGGGCCAGCAAAGTTCATGTGAGTCCCACCTGGGTCAGGGAAGACAGAGCAGGTACTGCCACAAAACTCGGCTGATATTTCAAAAGTGGGTTGGATTTTCCATCACGCATGTGTGTGCTCATTTACACTCAGTTTCCTCTCAGGCTCTGTGACAGGAAGCTCCACAAAAAGTGGACAAATGCCTGGTTTTACCCACGTTTATATGCTTTTTGCCTAATACTTCCCACGTGATAATATAGCTATGTGGATCAAAAAACTTTTCAAGTTTAACATAAAACTGCATAAATGTTTCTTGGCTGGGTAAATTAATTTTGGAATCTGGACAAGAGCAGCAGCTTCGACTCACATTGCCCAATGCTCAGCCAATCCCAGTGGAATTTAATTCTCTTAATGCTCTGTGCATTAGGCATATGGCTTGAGGTTGATTAGGTGTGATCTAACTGGTTATGCTTTTTTTTTAACTCTTGTCATTAATCTTCACAAAAGAATCATCAGAAAAATGGGTTTCATGTCTCCTCTTGTGCTCTGCTGAGGATTCGGGTGCAGTCTGCTAACTAATGTCTCAGGACAGAAAAGAGCTCCTGCTGGCTGCGGGTGTTTGGAGTGGCTGGCCATGGATGCGCACCTGAGAGGACTTATCTGAATTCAGGTTCAGGGTCAAGTGCAGCTTCAGAAGCAGTTGCCACAGTCACTGCTGATTTTGGAACCAGAGCTCAGCCTGTTGCTGCAATGTTCCTATGGCTTGAGAGAGAGTTTGCCATCTACCTTTGTCCTATTATTCAGTACCCAGTATATATGGGGTGACATGACATTGTCACCCTACAGAAGTGGGTGCCATGGGGTGCAAGGCTGTGTGCTTCGGACTGTCTTGTCTTCTCTTTGCTTATTACATCTACACACCCATCCCCCAAAACATTGAGGAGCGCTGGAAAGTCGGGATCTTGGATGCTGTCGTGAAAATTATCTCACTCATGGTAATGCTTTTCCTGGGGAATTAGGATGCCTCATCTTAAGTCCATATGAACTTTCTTTAAGGTTACAATTTAAAGAGAGACTGGGTTTCTTTTAGAATAAATTGACCAAATAATATTAATATGTTCAATTTAATTAATCATTAATATGTTTGCTTGAATCCATAGGAAGCAGAGGGAGACAGAATTTTTGTTAAGAATCTGTATCTAAAGGTCATGACTATATATTGTGATAAGAATTATAGAAATGATATTGTCCAAATGGAAAATTTGAGAATTTTGTTTAATTGTTTGGTATATTTGACTTTTTTAAAAAATAATTTTTAGTTATCAATGGACCTTTACTTTTGTTTATTTATATGTGGTGCTGAGACTAGAACCCAGGGCCTCACATAGGCTAGGCAAGCGCCCCTGAGCAACAACCCCAGCCCTATATTGAACCTTTTTGATGTAACCTATTCTGGCATGTTCTCTTAAAACTTACATGTATATATCAATTATATACATTTTGATGTGTATGTAGTGCTCTTACTATTTTAATGTTTTTCCCTTTCTAAGTAGTTCCCAAACTTTCAGGTTTCAGAAAGTCTATACATTCTGTGCATTACTGAGGACCTAAAAGAGCTTATTTATGTGGGCTACGTTCATCAGTGTTAACTGCATTGGAAATCAACCTCATTAGAACGATTTCACTTAATGGTAAACCCATCATAAGTTAACCTAAACGATATAGTTTCATTAAAACGTGCTTTTTAAACAGAAAAGACTTTATGACAGTCAACATTTTTTCAGATTCCTTTGATGTGTTTCATCCTGGAAGCTGGGTTCTCCCGCATGCCTCAGTAGCTAGTCTGTTGTGAGAACTTCCCCCACCTCGTGAGCAAATTAGATTTTCCTAAGAGGTAGAAGAGTGATGGTATCACGTGTGCTCTCTGAATGTGTCCGAGACCCCCAAGAGTTGGGAGACCACACTTTGAGATCTGCTGCTGCTCTTACCTAACGTCAGTACTTCATTGCTACATCTCAGCCCTCGTGTGTGAAAGTGTCAGAATTTGGATTCCAACCTAACATACTAGAACACCAGGCTCCCTTGCCAGGATACGCTGCCCTCGGGGGGCATGCAAATGATAGTGAGTAGGACGCTTAGGGAGAGGACAGTGATGGAGAACAAATGACCAGAGAGGAGAGAGCAGAGTGGCAAAGAAGGACAGGGATGCCCCCTGTGCTGCCGAAAGAGACCACAGAGCTCTGGGCTCTGTTCCTGAGGTGCCTCCTACTGAAAGTTCAAAGCCACTGAGCCGTCCAGGACATGATATGCTCTTTCCTATTAATTTCAAGGGTCCCACTCTGTTCACTGGACACTAGGAGAACAGGCAGATGAGCAATGTCACCCTACAGAGAAGCTGCTTGTGCATCTTTAGACTGTGAAGTGACCGATACTTATTCCTGGTCAGTATGTGCATCTTCTGAAAACTGGTAGAATATGACCTTTTCTTTCTCAAATGCAAAATAAAATGATGGGGCACACATAAAATAGAAGCCATTTCATCCATTTGTTCCTCTTTGCACGTGCCTATGTAGGAGGTGAAATGCCAGAGAAGTGCTTGCAGGGTTCTGGTAGTGGTCAGTCAGCTTGCCCATGTTCAAGGGTGAGCCATTTGTTATCATCCTGACTCGATAATTCAAGTGATTACCAGGAGAAATAAAAATATTAACACATATCAGATAAATGATCATCACAGTTCTTGATATAATACCATGGAGAAAGTTAGTACTCGGAAGTAACCCATTCTAATTATAGACAGTGTAAGGCAGGAGAAACAGCCTGAGCTTTAAAACCAGCTAGATGTTTATTTTATTTGTATTTGTTCTTTTTAGACATACATGATAGTAGAGTTATTTTGACAAATTATACACACATGGAGTATAACGCAGGACTCCATTCTTGTGGTCATGCCTGTTGTGGAGTGTCACTAGTCGTGTATTCATCTATGAATATAGGAGAGTGATGTCCGATTCCTTCTCCTCTTTCCTTTTCCCATCCCCACATCCTTCCCTTCATTCCCCTTTGTCTAGTACAATGAACTTCTATTCTTCCTTCTCTCCTCCCCTATTGTGTGTTAGCATCTGCATCTCAGAGAGAATATTCAGCCTTTGGTTTTTTGGGATTGGCTTATTTTACTTAGGAAAATATTGTCCAGTTCCATCCATTTACTGGCTAATCTCAGAATTTTATTTTTCTTTATGACTGAGTAATATTTCATTGTATATATAGACTACATTTTTTTCTTCATTCATCTGTTGAAGGGCACCTAGGTTGGTTCCATAGCTTAGCTATTGTGAATTGAGCTGCTATAAAAACATGATGTGGCTGATTTTAAGTCCTTTGGGTATACTTCAAGGAGTGGTATAACTGGGTCAAATGGTGGTTCCATTTCAAGTTTTCTGAGGAATCTCCATATTGCTTTCCATAGTGGTTGCACCAATTTGCACTCCCACCAGCAATGTATGTGGGTGCCTTTTCCCCCACATCCTTGCCAACATTTATTGTTGCTTGTATTCTTGATAATTGCCATTCTGACTAGAAGGAGATGGTATCTCAGAGTAGTTTTTATTTGCATTTCTCAAATTGCTAGAGATGTTGAACATTTTTTCATATATTTGTTGGCCATTTGTATTTCTTCTGTGAAGTGCCTGTTTAGTTCCTTAACCCACAAATTGATTAGGCTTTGTGTGTGTGTGTGTGTGTTAAGTAAAAGCAGTTATATCTTCAGAATGTACTTAATCTTTCTGTGGCTCAGTGTCTTCAACTGCAAAATGAGGGAGCTAATATATTATATTGCATGGTTGCCATGAAGCAGGAGGGCATGGGTTGCCAAACCCCATCTAATAATGTGGAGAGGCAGCTGGTAATTTAATAATGTGGAGAGGCAGCTGGTAATTTCTTAGTTGAGAAGGGCTCAGCATCTACTCCAGGAGAGGAGCTGTGAAAGATGAACCCAGGCCAGAAGCTGATGAATCTGAATGAGATTACTCTGGTTCTCAGCCGCCACACACCGCGCTTTCTCTAGAACCAGCAGTAGCTCTGTGTTAGGCTGTGCAGGGGGACCTCTGCTGTGCCACTAGGGTTACTCCTGCTGTTCTTTGCATCTTTATGTTCACTTCCTGCTACGGAAAATCAATGTGCTCACTGTTTCAAACTTCTTTAGATGTTTTTATCAGTGCATTATGGTTATACCAATGGTGGGGTTCATACTCACATGCTCATATTTGCATGGATATAATTTGCTCCACCTCAGTTCCCCAAGACCTCCACTTTCCCTCCCACCCTTCCAATATTTCCCTTCCTCTACTGGACTTCCTTTTATTTATTTATTAGTTTTTAATTGGGTGATTTATAGATGTACATGAAGGCAGAGTTCACTGTGGTATATTTGTACATGTATATAGCATCTTTTGCTCCATCTCATTCTGTAATTCCTCCCTTTTCCCATCCACCCTCCCTCCTCTCCATTCCCTTCCTCCCCTCCCCTGACCTCCCACCCCTTCCCTTTTCCCCTTACGTTGCTCTGGCTTCCACATAGGAAAAACAACCACTCCATCCTTGACTTTCGGAGCCTGGCATATTTCACTCAGCATGACAGTCCCCATTTCCATCCATTTACCATCAAATGACAAGATTTCACCCTTCTTTATGTCGGAGATAAATCCCATTGTATATGTACACTGTATTTTCCTTTTTTATTCACCTGTTGACAGGTATGTGGGCTGGTTTCATAACTTGGCTATGGTGAACTAAGCTGATATAAACATCGATGTGCCTGTATCACTATACTATGCTGATTTTTTGTTCTGTTGGATAAATATCAAGGAGTGGTATAATTGGGTCATATGGTGGATCCATGCCTAGTTTTTTGAGGAATTTCTGTGCTCTCTGGAGTAGTTGGACTAATTTGAAGTTCCTCCAACAGTGTATTTGTGTACCTTTCCCCCTACATCCTCACCAGCACTTATCATTTGTATTCTTTTTTTTTTTAGTTATAAGTGGACACAATATCTTTATTTTATTTTTTATGTGGTGCTGAGGATCAAACCCAGTGTCCCACACATGCTAGGCGAGCACTCTAGCTCTGAGTCACAACCCCAGCCCATATTATTTGTATTCTTGATGATTGCTTTTATGACTAGAGTCAGATGTATAGTTTTGATTTGCATTTCCCTGATTGCTAGGAATGTTGAAGGTTTTAAAATATGTTTGTGGGTCATTTGTATTTCTTCTTTTAAGAAATATCTGTTTAGTTCTTTTGCTCATTAATTGATTGGGTTATTTGATTTTTGTGTCAGGTTTTCTGAGTTCTTTGTGTATTATGGATATTATTTCCCTGTCATAGGAGTGGCTTGCAAGGATTCCCCCTCCCACACACACATTCTGTAGGCTCTCTCTTCATGCTCTTCTTTCCTTTGCTGTGCAGAAGCCTTTTAACTTGATGTCATTCCACGTATTAATTTTTGGCTTCATTTCTTGAGTTTTGGGGGTCTTGTTAAGGAAGTTGGTCTCTGTGCCAATGTTCTGGCTTGTTGACACTATGTTTTCTTCCAGAAGTTACAAAGTTCCTGTTCTAATTCCTTAGCCATTAATGCACTGTGAGGTGACTCTTGTACAGGGAGAAAGAGGGGGATCTACTTTCATTCTTCTACACATGTATGTCCAGTTTTTTCAGCAATGTTTGTTTAAAAGGCTGTCTTTCCTTCAATGTCTATTTTTGGCTCCTTTACTGGGTATGGGATGACTGTGTCTAGGTGGGTTTGTCTCTGTATCTTCTATTCTATTCCATTGATATCTTAGTTGATACCAGTATCATGCTGTTTTGCTGCTATAGCTCTGCAATATAATTTCAGATCAGGGATCCTGATCCCACAAATGTCATTCTTCTTTCTCAGTATTGCTTTGGCCACTCGGGTCTTCTACTCTTCCATATGAATGTCAGAATTTTTTTCATCTA